CGGACATATTGCTTACTGGGAACTTTCCAAATGATAAATATTAAATATTGAATAGTGAAATTGTCGAATTCCCGAGTGGGACATTCGGCGTCTAATGCTTTCGTCGAGGGAAATGATATTTGTCAACGAAGACTTTCGAAAATAAAAAGTAATATAAATAAAAAATATAATATTTAATATAATATATATAATATAATATAATATAATATAATATAATATAATATAAATTATTAATATAACATATTTATTAATATATAATAATATTAATACTAATAATATTTATTAATATAAATTATTAATAAATTAATAACAATGTTTATTAATCTACCTTTTTATCGATAGTTACTTTTTTCATCCACAGTGTCTCTTTTTATTTTTTTAAATTTCTTTTTATAGTTTAACGAGTTAAAATGAATGAATCATTTTATATTTTGCCCAGTGAATCAGTGTTCGAAAATCAGATCAGGTAATTAAATAAAAATTAAAAAAATAAAATTGTATATATGTAATACTTATCATCGGTCTCGTTGATAATTAAAATAGTATTTTTTTAAATCGTGAGTGGAACTTTCCCTCTACAGATTAGAACATCCCTCGATACTTTATAAGAATGGACTTTCGAAAATAAAAATAAATATAAATTATTAATAACAAATTAAATTATTAACAAATAAATTAATAACAATGTTTATTAATCTACCTTTTTGTCTATAGTTACTTTTTTCACCCACACTGTCTCTTTTTATTTATAGTTTGACAAGTTAAAACGAATGAACCATACGATTTTATATTTTGCACAGTTTCTTTGAATCAGTGTTTGAAAATCAGATCAGGTAATTAAATAAAAATAAGAAAAATAAAATTGTATATATGTAATACTTATCATCGGTCTCGTTGATAATTAAAATAGTATTTTTTTAAATCGTGAGTGGAATTTTCCCTCTGCAGATTAGAACATCCCTCGATACTTTATAAGAATGGACTTTCGAAAATAAAAATAAATATAAATTATTAATAACAAATTAAATTATTAACAAATAAATTAATAACAATGTTTATTAATCTACCTTTTTGTCTATAGTTACTTTTTTTCACCCACACTGTCTCTTTTTATTTATAGTTTGACGAGTTAAAGTGAGCGAACCATATATTATATTTTATATTCTATATTTTGTCCAGTTTCTTTGAATCAGTGTTCGAAAAATCAGATCAGGTAATTAAATAAAAGTAAAAAATAAAATTATATACATGTAATACTTATCATCGGTAATTAAAATAGTATTTTTTTAAATCGTGAGTGGAAGATTAGAACATTCCCCCGATATTTTACAAGAATTTATAACGAGAACATTCAAATAATAATCAAAATAAATATTGTATCGCGTCGACGATAATGATTTTTTTATTCACGAATGATATTTCTGACAAATTAAAATGGTATTCGAAGGACTACATGTTGCAACACTTTTAAGAATAAACTAGAATCCACGACAATGAGAAATTTGATCAATGCTAAAAGTTATAGTGATTACAATTCCACGAATGAGAATAATCGAATAAATATGAAATATATTTTCTGCGAGATGTATATTGTTATCATCGAAGCATGTCACAGCGAGAAGCAAGAGACACATGGACATTTCAACAGCTTTCAAGTAAGTTTTCGACGTAAGTGCTATCTCAGTCAGTTTTTAGTGACCTTGTTGCCAGTATATCGTTCAGATTAGGCCTGTTGAGGCCTCGGTTTAGGTATATCGCGAACGCGTGGTTACTTGATGGAACGGCTACGAAAATTTCACTGATTTCACTTTCATTCGAATATAAAAAAATACGCAGGAAAACTAATCGCATACATCTAACTTGAGAATATTCAAGTCCGCTGGATACGTCTAATTTGTGAACACCTGAGAGAAGTGCAATTAAAGGAAAAGACAAAGACGAGGACTTCGGTTCGCTTTCGTTTCAATCTGGCCCTTCGATTCGAGCGCAGGTGCACTCACGAGGAGATGATTTGCTTTCAATAAGTATTCTTTTGCACGAGCACGCGCAACAATTAATAATAATCCTGAATAAGATATGGCGTTTAAGAACGGAACTGCGGACGTTTTATTGTACAAACCGCATTCAATTCTCCGATATGCATCTACTCTCTCGGTGGTAGAAATCTCACGGAAGACTGCTTGATCAATCAATGTTTCCGGTTTGGAAAAGCCGGCGGGTCGTTTTGTGTTCGAAATGAAAAGTCTTCTCACTCGGCGAAATGGAAGAAAAGGAAAAGGAAAAAAAAGAAAGAATGAAGGAACATCTTAGTAGCAAAGAGACTCGACGTTATTTTTATATGATACGATATTAAAAACGTGTAGATCATTTCTTTGCTTTCTATCCTACAGATTACTTAAAGACTGATTGTATAAAACAAAAATTTTACAGACACACGTTTTTTTTAAATTTTTTATTACTTTATTTGGGAATATAAAATAATATAATAGTATATATTTATGTTTTTATATAATATGTTATATAGTTGTACAATATGTAATAATATATATTTGTATTTTTATATAATATATTATATAGTTATGTAATATATAATAATATATATTTATATTATTATATAGTATATAACATTATATATTAATTTTATTTTATATAATATATTATATATAGTTATATAATATATAATAATATATATTTATATTTTTATATAATATATAACATTATATATTAATTTTATAATATATTATATATTTTATATAATATATAAAATATATATTTATATATAATTAACAAGTTATGACTTTTTTAAACCCTTTAGTTTTTCAGTGGCCACCCTGTACCATGCATTAGCAAATGCGTTTTTATATTTTTACGAACAGAAATTAGTTTCAACTACGTTTCCTATAGTAAGCAGATCTCTGTGTACTTTATACATTTTGTGTATTTTATAAACTCAGCTTTATCCATTATATATCCTAAATTGAGTATTTCATATAATTCTACGTTCTTGTAACTTTCGATTTTGCATAAAAATCCGCTTGTAAGTCTGCAACAAATAAATCTACTCTGAAACAGGCGTGGGTATTGTTTGAGTAAAATATTTGAGAAGTGATTACTTCAATAGCACATCGTCTTATCTGGCCGCGGCTCGTTGTCTCGAGATAATCCCACGTTAATTTATTATTTATTAAGCAAAACGATCATTCTCGATATTAATTTATATTAATTGGTCTATCAAATGAAATAATTTCTTTCTTTACTTTTGTTTTGTACCTCCATGCAAACTTCTATCATGCAAACTTCACTCACCGTCGAGATAATTCGATTTATTCGCCAAAAAAAGAAAATGATTTATCTGATTTTGATCGAGGATGAAGTTACGTTTGAAATAACACTGCCACAGTTTAATTAAATCTGTCTCAACACGCCTGTTTTCAACACGTCGTACGCCTCACGAATTTCTCACGTTATGCAAAGTGATAAATAATTTAACGAAATTGGGTAAAGCGTGACAATAACAAACGCCGGGGAAATCCGTGTCTGTCTCGTCTGGTGTACTGGTACGATTGTAAATTACGAGCTCGTGCATAACGGGTTGAAACGCAACGAGCCACGAAGACGTCCTTGGCCGCTCCTCTGATAGCCTCCAGACCTCCTGGGAATCGTTTCTTACTGCCTCGATGCACACGACTATGCAACGAGCCGCGTAGAAACGTTCCCGGGACACCCAATCCCACGGGATGTATCATCCAGTTGCATATTTCAAAAAAGTCGAAAGAAGAAGAAAAGAAGAAGAAAGATTTCTGTAATCGGAGTTCTTCGCTCGAACTTCTTTACCGACTGTGGCTTCTCCCGCGGTAATTTCGAATGCTAAGAATTGACAGCTTCAGGAGTTTCAATTGATTTTAGAACGTCGAACATTTCTCTCTTCGTGATTGCAGCTCGCTTTTAGTGTGATTTGAGAGCGAGGAACAGTTTTGGAAATTCAATTGATTTAAATTCAAGCATCCAAAAAAGTCAAAGGACACCATTTTCTTTTCTCTCTCTCTCTCTCTCTCTCTCTCTCTCTCTCTCTCTCTCTCTCTCTCTCTCTCTGTTCGGTGTTTTATAATTTGGAATTTTATCGAACTTCTTTATCGACTGTAGCTTCATTCGTAATTCGAGAGGTAAGAATTGACATTTTTAAACGTTCGATTGATTTAGATTCAAGCATTGAAATTTAAAAGACACCAATTCCTTTCTTCTGTAATTTGGAATTTTGTCGAACTTCCTTATCGACTGTAGCTTCTTTCGGCACAATTTGATCGCTAAGAATTGACATTTTTTAAAAATATTTAATTGATTTAAATTTAAGCATCGATAGTCAAGAGACACTAGCTTCTCTCTTCTGTAATCGGAATGTTTTTTTAAAGTTTGATCAATTGTAATTTCTTTTAGCGTAATTTAATTTAGCTGAAAACTCAAGTTTGATTGATTCAGATTCAGACAAAATTCTGGTGAATCTCTAAAGCAAATAAAATAAACTTAACAGAGTTTGATGTCGTGTCTCCGGACAAATAATTAATATTAACAGTGCTAAATAAAGATATCGACAGCAGCGACTTTCAGTTATACATATTTTACGAGAAATGACGGTGGACGATCATCGAAGATTACGAAGACGCGTGAAAATTAATCTTCGCAAATAAAATCAGTGAAAAGTTTCACAAATCACTATGCAAGAAATATTAGAATCAAGTAATAAACATTTGTCACAGGTCGAGCACTAATTGTAACAAAACAAAAAAAATGAGGCGTTCACTGCGTCAAACGCGAGTTTATGTACTCTTAATACCAATCAATCATCGATCATTAAAAAAAAAAAAAAATATCTCGATTCATTAAAAAAGAAAAAAAAACGTATAAAGTGTTACTGAAAATGTTGAATAATTCGCAATTAGTCGATCGACCGGTGCTTTCTAAATAAATCACCGATAGAATCGGTTCAAGATCGTCGAATGTACTTAGCTGGTTGAACGTGGAAAAGTGACTTGGCGGCAGCTCGTCAATCACTCGCGGAAAGAGATTGTCAAGGAGAAGCGGCCTGTTCGTTCCTCGAGAATGTTTTTTTTTTCTCCCCCTTCTTTTCCTTTTTTTTCTTCCTTTTTTTCTTCCACCGTTCGCCGAGTCTCTCGCACCGTAAAAACCTGTCCACGTGAAATAATTCACGCCTGGTCGCGTCTGTCCACGACTATCTTTCGCTTTCGTTATCTCTTTCGAACGCTCGCGCTCGGCTAGAAGTTATTCGCGATTACACGTGTACGTAATGTTAGGTACGCAATGTATGCTTCAACGTCTGAACAAAGGTGGTAAGAAGGCAATAAAAAGGAAATTATTAATTAGGTAGGTGGTTAGGTAGGTGGATTCTTTCTCCTTTGCGATTAATATTTGAAGATCGAAAGACTGGAGGAACTTCGAAGAGCTAAAGGTTCTAGAGGATCTAGAGATTTGAAGATCCTGAATGATTTGAAAATGCTGAAAATTCGCAAACTAGAAACTCGAGGATCTTGCAATAATCCTGAGAAACGTAGGAAGATTCGAAGATTCTGAAAATCTGCAGATACAAACGCTCGGAGAGTCAAATGTTCGAATTGAAAGCTGCGAGGATTACTATGAAATTACAGCGCTACAAAGTGGCGAATTTTCAAACAATTCGCGGTGATCGATTTGACTTTTGTTTTTCGATCTAAAAATTCAAACGCTCAAAGATTCGAAGGTTCAAACAGAGAAAGATCCAGAGACTGCTGAAATGAAATTATGGCGCTACAAGATTGTGAATTTTTAAAAAATTTGAAGTCTCGAATTTTTGAATGATTCACATACCTTTTCTATCTCTTCTCGATTTTTCGAAAATTCAGAAATCCAAAGACTATTATTACTATAAAATTATGGCAAAGTACAAAGTCACGAATTTTTAAAAAAATTCGAGGCAAGCGATCTGACTTCAGTCTCTCGAAAAATCTCCTCGATTTAAAAATCCAGACACTCGAAGATTCAAAGATTCAAACTAAAAGACCCAAAGACTATCATTACTATAAAATTATGGCAAAGTATAAAGTCACGAATTTTTAAAAAATTTCGAGGCAATCGATCTGACTTCTGTTTCTCAAAAATCTCCTCGATTTAAAAATCCAGACATTCGAAGATTCAGAGATTCAAACTAAAAGGCCCAAAGACTATCATTACTATACAATTATGGCAAAGTACAAAGTCACGAATTTTTAAAAAAATACGAGACAATCGATCTGACTTCTGTCTCTCGAAAAATCTCCTCGATTTAAAAATCCAGACACTCGAAGATTCAAAGATTCAAACTAAAAGACCCAAAGACTATCATTACTATAAAATTATGGCAAAGTATAAAGTCACGAATTTTTAAAAAAATTCAAGGCAATCGATCTGACTTCTGTCTCTCGAAAAATCTCCTCGATTTAAAAATCCAGACATTCGAAGATTCAAAGATTCAAACTAAAAGGCCCAAAGACTATCATTACAATAAAATTATGGCAAAGTACAAAGTCACGAATTTTTAAAAAATTTCGAGGCAATCGATCTGACTTCTGTCTCTCAAAAATCTCCTCGATTTAAAAATCCAGACATTCGAAGATTCAAAGATTCACTCTAAAAGACCCAAAGACTATCATTACTATAAAATTATGGCAAAGTACAAAGTCACAATTTTTTAAAAAATTTCGAGGCAATCGATCTGACTTCTGTCTCTCGAAAAATCTCCTCGATTTAAAAATTCAGACACTCGAAGATTCAAAGATTCAAACTAAAAGACCCAAAGACTATCATTACTATAAAATTACGGCAAAGTACAAAGTCACGAATTTTTAAAAAATCTGACTAATTTATATCTTTCGTTTTTCGAAAGATTTCACGACCATTGCAAACTGTAGTGGCGTTGCGGAGTGACGAATTTTCAAAATTCTGTTTCTCGAGCGAACGATGGATTTTCATCTCTGTGTCTCTCGATCTCGAAGTCAGTTTCGGGTGTTGAACAGATCAACAACAATCGTCGGTTGTAAAATCGGGTGATTCGAGTTTCTCTCAGTGAGGAATAGAGGAAGGAAGGGGGAGAGAGACGGCGCAGAGGAGGAGAAAGAATTTGGTAAGAACGAAAACTTTCCCTCGCGGGCACGGTGAGAGGAGGAGGCGAGACACACGCGTTTCCTGATACACCGAAAGGATACACGTCACGATCCACGGGGAAACGGGAACAAATAGCGGTACGAACGAAAGAGAAGCCAGTTGTTGGAGCAACGATCAAGAATATTTCGTGAAGAATAGCCGTGAAACAACAAAATCCTCCGCTCGAGACGCGAGATTTTCTCGATCGATCGCAATTATTCATCCGGTTCTGCTTGAAGACATTTTAATTTGTCCACTTCGTTCCGTTTGCTTTCCGAGAATTTCGACCACTTCCGAACGCGCGGAGGAATTTATTGCCTACTTCGAAATTTCTTTGGAGAAACTTTACTTTTTCGTCCCGCCGTTTCACGAGAGAACAACGTTTATTTTTTCACGGGCAGGGGCGACTAATGAATCCACCGACGGCGGCGTTAATCCGGTTAAAGAGAATCGTCGACTCGCCGCGCGCGAAACCTCGGAACGAGATTTCCGTAATAAATTTTGAAACGGTGGAAGAAAGCGTGTTAACCGTTGAATATATTTAAATAGAAAGCGATAAAACCCGATTGCCTGTACGTCGGCCAGCCAAAAGCGAAGAATTCAAACACCGATGAAAAATCGACTTTCTCGAAATGCGAGGCGCGCGCTCGGTTTTCCTTGATAATTACCGGGCGCTTTCCCCGCGCCGTTCCCCCTGTTATATCGATAACAATTTCACCGCAACGAAGATAATGAAACGAGATACACGCAATTTCCTCGTCGGTTTCCTTTTCGACGAACGATTTACACGGACCTTCGCGATCGACGAAAATAATCTTGTTGAGAGAACGACGTCTGTCACACCTCACAATTTTTCCTAAATACGATAGAGGAGATCTGACGCGTAGAGTAGACGCCATTTTTCTAACCTCAAACTTTTCTTTCTTTTCTTTTTTTTTTTTTATTTTTTAAGTCGAAGTTTGAATCAAGTTAGTCGAGCGATCAGGCAATTGATTAAACAATCTACACTGATTAAACAGTTGTCCAAATACTTCAAACGACATGGTTCTTTCAGTATCCTAGTATAGTGTACGATTCTTCAGAGAATATAGGTGAACTTAACCTATCAGTATTTTGGTAGGTTAGGTTTTCTTTAGCGAACTTCCAGGATTTTTGAAATCGAGATTTAATTAAGTTAATTAAACAACTGGACAATTAATTAAAAGAATGGACAATAAATTTGAAAAATTGGACAACTGATTAAACAATCAATTTAAATTCAATTTTCACCTAACCTAAACATTTTTAAGAGACAGGCTTCTTCAGGGAATTTCTAGTGTTTTTAAAAACGAGATTCAATCAAATTAATCAAACAATTGGACAATCGATTTAAACAATCAACTTAAATCAATTAAACAATTCTCGGCAGTCCAAACACTTTCAAACGACAAGGTTCTTCTAGTATTTTAGTATAGTATTCCTCTAATATTCTACAATTCGGAGAACTTGTAGTATCTTTAAATCAAAATTTAATCAAATTTAACTGAACAATTAAATAATTAATCAAACAATCTTCAGCAGTTCAAACATTTTTAAACGATAGAGTCTTTCTAGTATTCTAATATCTTTCTAGTATTCTAGTATTATAATTCTAGTATTATAATCTTTATTATATTCTATTATTATATACTATTATATTCTAGTATTGTATTCTATTATATAGTATTATACTCTAGTATTATAATCTTTCTAGTATTCTAGTATTATAATATAGGTTCTTCAGGGGACTTGCAGCATTTTCAAATCAAAATTTAATCAGACTAAAACTCAAAGAAACAAGCAATTTCAAACAAATAATTGCAATTAATCAAACAACTTCGTCGGAACGAAATCAAACAATTGATTTCAATTAATCAAACAACTTCGTCGGAACGAAGCGAGAATTTTGAGGAAACGTACGAGAAATTTCCTTCTGTCGGGGAGGGAAAATTTCATTTTTTCATTCGGCGTCAGCCGATCGCTTTCCACGCTTCCTGATACGTAAAACCATGCTCCTTGGAACGAGCATGGTTTTACGCGTTACGCGCGCGGCTTTTCAGGCACGCAACAACAACAGCAACGAAATCGTTTCCGTGAGAAGAGGAAAGAAGAAAAATCTCTCTCTTTTTCTCTCTCTCTCGCCGCAGACCTCCGCTTCCTTCTTTCTTTCTTTCTTTCTTTCTTTTCTTTCTCCCACCCTTCGTTTCTGATTTTAACGCGGCACGAGGCACCACCACGGTCGGTTCCCCACCACGGATTTCGAACACGGATTTCTCTTTCATTCGCGATCTGATTTCTTGGCGAAACCGCGCCAGAGTGAATTTACACTCGGCCGATCCTTCTTCCTGCAATCTCGTCTCGCAACAGCTTGTACCCTCGACTCGATCATGACGAGAATTCATAAATTAGGTTCAGGACAGATTTTCGGTCGAATTGCAGATGCGTTTGAATTTTCATCGTGTAAAATGACCGCTCGCGCAAAATAACAATTGAAGGTAGACGAAATTTTTTTTTTAATTTGAGTTAATGACGTTTTTTTTGGATGTTTTCATGATTAGCCTCACTCGTTTTGGCACTTTAACCTCTTGCTAACCCAGGCAAAACAAATAATAAACTTATTCATTCTCAATAATTTCTATCCAAGTGGCATCATACCGACGAGTTCAAAAAGAAAGCGACGATTTATTGTATACGGTTCGGTCACTCGTTATGGTCCGCAATCAGTCGCCAGCGCAATTTGGTTAACCTTTGCAACACACGTCGAGAATTTTTTGTCCCAAAATTACAATATTTTCTCAGTTTTAAGTATATTTAAATATAATCCAGGTAAAACAAGTAATAAATTTATTACTTCTCAATAATTTCTATCTATCTACAGTGATATATTATCGACGAGTTTAAAAAGAAAGCGTCGAATTATATATATACGGTTCCGTCACTCGTTATGGTCCGCAATCAGTTGCCAGCGCAATTTGATTAACCTTTGCAACACACGTCGAGAATTTTTTGTCCCAAAATTGCAATATTTTCTCAGTTTTAAGTATATTTAAATATAATCCAGGTAAAACAAGTAATAAATTTATTACTTC